CCCTGACCGTTCCCAACTCCCCCAGATCCCTCAGCGCTGGCTCAGCCCGACTCTTCAACCCCTCCAGGGATCCCGGGGACTCCCCCCTGCCCTGGGCAGCCCATTCCAACGCCCAACAGCCCCTTCTGCACAGAAATCCTTCCTCAGAGCCAGCCTGACCCTGCCCTGGGCAGCTTGTGGCCATTCCCTCTTGTTCTATCATTTGTAATTCCCCAGTGCAAGTCACACCTTTGGTGTTCAGCAGAATGAAATTAGCCTGAGGCATCCATTTGGAACACTGGGAAAGCCATTCGCCCAGTGGGTTGAAGGAGGGATGGGGTAAACTTCATGAAGCTGTAAAAAGAAGGGGTTGCCCAGGAAAGGTGCAGGTTTTATTCAGAGCAGGATGGATGCTCCGTGCAGCCGCCCCATGGCACATGGACATGTGCCCAGGCACACCAGGTTATTTGGAGATACCAAGGGATAATGGCAGGAGCTGCCCGTGGGCGATGGGCATCATTTTGGTGATGTTCTCAATTGTTGGCCTCCACTCTCATTTTTGTGAAAACCCCTTCTTATTCCCATGAGCACAGGTGCTGTTATCACATGTGTGTGCCCATCTTCACCGGAGCTGTGCCAGCACCCACTTTTCCAGCTCTGTGCTGGGTGCTACTGGGAGGTCTCTGGGGTGCCAGGCTCCCTGGGGTTGGCTTTGGATGCCATTTTGATGCAAAACTGGGAAGATTTGTAGGTAAAACTGGTTGCAAGTGGAGCCACTGGGGTGATGACACCCTGTGGAGTGGAGGGTGCCTTCACCCCAAAGCAAAGGCAAGCCGCCAGGGGCAGCAGGCACGGATCCTGAGAGCTGAGAATCTTCAAAATAACCTTTGCACCCTCCTCTTCCTCTTTCCCTCACACAGGACTTATCGTGAAAGAGATCAGCTCCTCCACCTCCAGCTCCTCGGAGACGGTGGTGAAGCTGCGAGGCCAGAGCACTGACTCCTTACCCCAGGTACGTGGTGCTGGTGGAGCTTTGGTAAAGCCCAAAGTCTTGCTGGCACCTGGGTTTTGGGTTTCCCCAACCTCCCTGTTGGCTCCTTGGCGGGTCCTGAGCCTCCGCTCTGCTTTGCCCAGACAACGTGCAGGAAACCGAAGACGTCAACGGACCGGCACAGCCTGAGCCTGGATGACATTCGGCTCTACCAAAAGGACTTCTTGCAGCTGGCCAACCTCTGCCAGGATACGGCCCAGAGCTACACCTTCGGCTGTGCCCACGGGCTGGAGGAGGAAGGGCTCTACTGCAACGGCTGCTTGGCCCAGCAGTGCATCAACATCCAGGAGACCTTCCCCGTCAAAAGAACCAGCAAATACTTCTCGTTGGATCTCACCCACGATGAAGTCCCCGAGTTCGTCGTCTGAGGGCCGCAGGGAGCAGGACTGGCTGCACGCCCTCAGCGGGGGAGGTTGGGGCTCCCTGCCCTGCATCGGGGGCTGTCAACGCCGCCTTTCACCCCGCACCGCTCCCTGAAAACCGAGGCCGTGGAAACCATTGCACGTGGAGGATCACCCCAACGGTGGGTGGGGTGGAGACCCCCGGGCATGGCAGAGTCCCACCGGTGGTCCCCCAGCATCCTTTCTCCTCCGGATGAGCTGATTACAAACGCAAGTTGTCTTATTTCGACTGGGAGATACACAACTCGTTTGAGCGAGCAGAAGCCAGCCTGTGCTTTCTCACTGCCTCGTGGCAAGGTGGCCTCTTCTCCTCCTTGCCCCCACCCTCAGTGCTGCCCGCGGCTCCAGCGCTTGGTGGCAACCGACCGGAGAGGAAGTGCCAGACTCTTGTGTTCAAGTCAAGCCAAAGAAATGTAAATACCCTAAAGGCCAGTATGGAGAGGGAGAATTAAGCAATAACCAGCCGGGGGGATCTCCGGGCACGGGTGATATACCGTGGAGGAAGGCACAGCCAGCAGCTTCTGGGGCAGAGCATCAACCCAGTTCTTCCAAAAAACACGTGCTGGAGGTCAGACCAGAGCGGTCCCAGCGTGGCAGCTGGTGGCTGGGAGCTCTTGGAGCCGTTTGCAGCTTGTTTTTTTTTTTCTTTTTTTCTTTTTTTTTTTTTTTTTTGAGAGAAAAACTCCCAAACCAAAAAAAAAACCAACCCAAACCAACCCAAACCAACCCATCCAAGAAAACCGAAAGCAAAGGAGAATGGGAAAAAATAGGTCACCTGTAAGGATATTGCAATAATGCATCCCAAACTTTGAATATATAGAGATTACATATATAAATATATCGAGGTATGTATGTTTATATATGTCTGGATCTTATAGACCCATTTTCATTTTACTTCTGCTCTAAAATACCTTTTATACAAAGGATCTGCCTCTCTTCTTTAACGAACTGTATAAACAATCATGGTTGTTTTTTTTTCTAAGCACTAAGGTGAGAAAATAGACTTTCCTCTTGAGAAGAATATGTATGCAACCGCGTTGTAAGTGTGGCTCTTCCCAGTGCAGTCGCCGTTGTATTTTACCAAGGCTTTTCATGCGTCTTTAAGTCTCTTAACAGTTTGAATAGTTCTGCTAAAGGATGATGGTGATGTGCTAGGAAAACCCAAGGGCAGCTTCTGAGTGTGTCCTAGGGAAGTTAACCTGCCCTGGAGTAAGATTTACCATCGGTAGCAGAGGGTAAAGCATTACAGCAGCTAATATTCACAGCACAATGCCTTTTTAGTCAATATTTTTAATTAGAGTTTAGCTATTGACAGCCAAAGTTTTGCCATATTTTGATATACCACCTTTTTTTAACTGGAAACTTTTCTTAAAAAAAAAAATATATATATATAATTATTTTATAAATAAGCACAATCTTATTTTTATAAGAAATGTTGGGGGAGGGAGCCAAGAAGGGGGAACTGGTACCAAAAGAAAAGGAGTGTAGCTATTGGCACAGTGCAAGAAAATCTCAGTGTTACTGGGATGTGGGAGCTGGTAGGGGAGAGGAGTGGGCCCCACCCCGGAGCTTGATCTCCCCTGGCACGAGATGATGTTGGATATTATGGGAAAATAGTGTAGGTAGCCAAATGCTGGTGGGAGGCTGGTGGCCCCTAAGGCCTCTTTATCTCCCCTAAAGCCGCCCAGGGCAGCCGGAGGGATGCTGCCCTGGGGCTCGGGGCTATGTGCCCCGCTCTGGTTTTGGGAGGCCCCCAGCAAACACCCCAGAAGCCTCTCTCATGGGCACCACATCCCAGACTGGGCTGCCGGGGTTTGCTAGCAGCGCCCCCACTCCAGACCCCCACCCACAGCCCAGTTTGC